CTACACAAGAGTTATCTGTGCTAGCCACAAAGCTACACAAAAGTTACCTGTGCTAGCCTCAAAGCTACACAAGAGTTATCTGTGCTAGCCACAAAGCTACACAAAAGTTACCTGTGCTAGCCTCAAAGCTACACAAGGGTTATCTGTGTTAGTCGTTCCAAGCTTTAAAATTATTGACAAGAGGGAAAGTAGCTGGTCAACAACACACTGGGAAACTCTAATGGAATTGAAGGATTAGGTTTATGTCAATACCTTGAACATTTTTTTTTCCAAATAAATGCGACTTTTATGTTCGTAAACCACACCAGATCCCAAACAATAATGGTCAGCCTTCAAAATAAAGATATTTTTATGTGCGTGTATACACGTTTTAGCAACAAAGGATTGTTTGATTTAAGGGAAAATCAACAATATTGACTAATTGTTGCATAAACCAATCTAAGAAATTGGGTCTGACAATATGAACTTGAAAAACCAACAATACTAATAATTATTGTTGCACAACACAAGCTAAGAAGTCTAGATCTGAGAATAATAACTTATAAAATCAACAATATTGACTAATTGTTGCATAAACCAATCTAAGAAATTGGATCTGAGAATATGAACTTGAAAACCAACAATATTAATAATTATTGTTGCACATCACAAGCTAAGAAGTCTAGATCTGAGAATAATAACTTATAAAATCAACAATATTAATAATTATTGTGGCACAACACAAGTTAAGAAGTCTGGGTCAGAGAATAATGATTTATAAAACCAGCAATACTAATAATTATTGTTGCACAACACAAGTTAAGAAGTCTAAATCTGAGAATAATAACTTATAAAATCAACAATATTAATGATTCTTGTTGCACAACACAAGTTAAGAAGTCTGGGTCAGAGAATACGAACTTAAAAAAAAAACAAATAAGTTATTATTCTCAGATCTAGACTTCTTAGCTTGTGTTGTGCAACAATAATTATTAATATTGTTGGTTTTTCAAGTTCATATTCTCAGACCCGGACTTATTGGTTTTACACGTACGAATGAAGACATTAAAAATCCTAAAATTCATATTTCGAAACAAATTTTATGGTCAAACACAAAATGAATTTCCAAACTATATTTTTGCGATCTTCTTCCACTTTCAGATGACCTGGTGGAGAACAGAATGGAGTCACATGCCAGACTGAGAAGGATGAAGAGACAAGATCAGCAAGTGGCTCTTGATAGGTTTCAAGTGTTGCCTCGTATTGGAAATGGTGCTAAGATTCAATTTTATTTTGCTTTGATAGAGTTAACTAAAGAGCTGAAAACTTGGGAAAGTGAGAGGGGTTTCCAGCTATCGCAGGTTTTTGGATTTTTTATGATTTTAAACATTATTTCCGAAATGCCCTTAACTGCAATACTGAGCAACGTAATCCTCGGCAATCCTTTAAACGGAACAATAGAAACCAAATCGTTTACAAGTTCATCGACAACCGCTGTTGTGTCTGCACAAGCACTTATTGCAACAACAACAACTACAGTGTCTCCCACAACGACTGCTATAACCAAAGCACTAACAACGACCACGACTTCGCCACCATCGACGACAACATCAAACTCATCTTTGACAAATAATATCGTAGATGAGTTACTGGATTTCTTTTAAGTCATCGTCTTTCTCTTCTGTTCTACTTCTGTGTTGTTATCAACTTACAAGAAAGATCTTCCGGGTCCAGAGCTTTTCTTAGAACCTCTTCTTCCATTGTTTATCAAACTCATCACTCTAGACAAACATCAGTTTCTACTTTAACAAGCTTCTATTAATAAGAACGAGGTCTCTTTAAACTACACATCTTCACTTTCCACGGATCATCCAAAATCGTGGCGAATCAAAGGCGCAAAATGGGATTGCTTTGAATCCAGTTTCTTCGGCCATCTTTCTCGCCTTAGTTTCGAGACGTGGCTTTCTTTATTTTCTCGTTACTGGCACCAGTAAATATTTCTAATTTTATCTCAGTGAATTTTTGGGCTAAAGGGTTCTCTTTCGAAGCCATAACCTTCACTTTGAGGATGAGAGTGTGTATTTAGGTGTGATATCAAAGATTGCTGTTCTTCTGAACGCTCTACTATGCGAGTTTTTATCCTTACATAGAGAAAAATAAAACTTCCCTTTTTCGAAATGTTACGCCCTCTGGCTCTAGATCGTTTAACAGTTTTGCTTTTCAAATACTCTTTCTCGGGAAGAGCCGTGACGTATATTCCTCCACCAATAGTTAACCCTAACAGTACTGCACTGTCCAATGAATGGAACAGCTCGTCACTGAATTAACAAAAGTCATTCTTATAAAGTGTCGTTAACTTTTTGATAAACAACTCATTTAGCGTAAAAACATGCTGAGCAATAGATGACATGATTATCAATAACTTGTGATTAAATTATGTAGTTTACTTAATATACCGGTTTAACAAGCAGTATTGAAAGTCATAAAACAAAAACTTTTTAACATTAAAACGTAATGGAACCTTCGCTATTATCGATGTTTTCGGCCATAATCCCAATAACTTTCACGATGTTCAACTAGTTAAGGAGATTTAGGTTAACCTTAAATCTTTATATTAAAGATCTCCATAATTAACAAACAAATATATCTATTTAGTAATAATAATATATATATTAATATTTTTAACCAATATTGTTAAAGAAAAGATAATTTTAATAACAATGTGCATACAATACTCAGGCTGTGACTTTGTTAGAAATTTGTATTTGGTGTTTTGTTCACAATAAGAATTATTCCATTTTAAGGTAAAGGTGTGTATAACAGTATGAATATATAATCGAATAAATTCACTTCTGGTAAATACTGTAAAGTTATGTAGTTATGGAATAAAGCCACTACTCGAACTTGTTATAAACTGTCTGAGTGTTGTTGTTTTTTGTTTGTGTGTGTGTGTGTCATATTCTGATATATATATATATGTGTTTGTGTGTAAGTAGAATCAGCATCTCTTTAAAAACAATGTAACGAACTGTGAAAGTAATAACACGGAAATACAAAACTTGAGAACAAAATTCTTAACTTTCGAAGTTATTTCAATCCAGTTTCTAATGATGCACGAACAGTGTCGTGTTCATCGATCAGGTAGTCACTGATGACGTAGCTTTGTGTAAACTGACTATTTATTTTGTGATCTATTTGCTGAAGAGTTGAAATACAATCCCAGTAAACATATTGAACTGTGTAACTATTAGTCCTGCTAAACTGTAACATACCGTTTATGTTGTCTTGGAGACGACTGTGTTTGTAATTATAAGTAAAAAACACTATAATGATATGTCAACCACAATGTATGTACTATGTTCAGTGCTAACGATTCCTTTCCCCAAAGTGGTCGACTGGTATACGACAGACGCTATGCTATTTATATCATGAATTACTTGAACAACAGCTGCTTCAGATATACTGGTAGAATCGTCAGATTCAATGTCTATAGATTTTTGTGTGATTGGATTGCTGAAACGGCGTTGGGAAACTGTCGTCCTCCAACACTAGATAGATTATGGAAAGCAGTAGGAAGAAAGGTGTGCTTTGGACATGACAGCCTTAAGGTGGATCCTTTTGTAACTATACAGCACAGCTATTGCAAAGATGCATGGTCGTCAGGTAGAACTTGACCAGACTTGGCGACTCGTACTGCAACGACGTGGCGAGGCTCCAAGATTGTTTTAATATGACGCACACAACTTTTGTATACGTTATTTTGCTGGTAGATATTATAAGTGAAAAAAAAAAGATCAAATGATTTGTTTTCATTTTTGTTACATTATTCTACAGAATTATTGCAATGATATCTAAAGAACTGCTCACACTTTGAGAAAATACGCAAAGTAATGTACTAGCCTTATGAATAATCTGTTAATTTTAAATGAATTTATTTACCAGAGTAAAACAAAAACAAAAAGTTAACTGAAACTGAATAACAAAATATGTAAATCTCCGTTAGGTTTACCATGAAAAACATTATAAAGAAGATACTGATCCCGCATGGAACTGGTTGATTTCATTTCTTTAATATTTAATGTCTTCGAAAACAAATATATCGTTATCTTTAGATCTCAAGTTTTTAGTTATAGGAACTTCTTAATCCTCGTTGAAGGTCAATGTTTATTAATTGTGTTCTCGTACCTGGCGGCCACCCTTGAAACCAGTCTTGGATGTGGTAGGTCATGAAAGAGGACAATAATGCCATTAAGACCAGTTAACTCACTGCCAATTGGTAAGGACTGCGTTAGGGTTATATATATATATATAATATATTTATATATATATACAACATACGAGCAGTACTCGGGCAACAGTGTTGTTGTAGTGTTAACATTTATATATACAACATACGAGCAATACTCGGGCAACAGTGTTGTTGTAGTGTTAACATTTATATATACAACGTACGAGCAGTACTCGGGCAACAGTGTTGTTGTAGTGTTAACATTTATATATACAACATACGAGCAATACTCGGGCCACAGGGTTTTTGTAGTGTTAACATTTATATATACAACATACGAGCAGTACTCGGGCAACAGTGTTGTTGTAGTGTTAACATTTATATATACAACATACGAGCAGTACTCGGTCCACAGTGTTGTTGTAGTGTTAATATTTAAACGTCTGCTTGTTTTTAAATTACATTTTGTACGAAAATCACTGCATTTGTGCTGTGTACTTCCCCCGTGTCAATTGTCTTCGTATGTAAAATTTTAAATCATAGGGATACATCCACACAGAGCATTTTCCAGCCGTAAATCAAAGTCAACTACAAAAAATTGTCACGTACTACCACCCTTTCCGACTTCCCAACAGCCGTTCTCCTGTTAGTTAGTCACGTGGGTGCACAGTGGTTTAGCTACGGGAAACATGACGTCATGTTATTGATTTAAAATATTATTCCGAGTAGTTAATGAAACAGAAAAAAGAAGATTTTGATAGAATTAAAACCCTCACGTGAAAGTTTATATTAGTTATAAACAGTGAAGGATGGTTCTGTTTATATATATCCCCATTCATGTTTTAAAAACTTCATCTCATATACTAATACATATGCCAATGAAGAGTTATTTTTAAATCTAAAACATTTCGGGGGTGGTTTGGTCGAGTTTGCATAGTTCTTCAAGTAAGAAACTGACCAGACTGACGTTGATGATTAGCTATTTTAAACTGTAAGAATTTGAGGCTGACCTTTCGAAGTATGCATTCGGTCAGTAAGTTGACCTTGAAGCTGTCCATATTGCCAGGTCATATTAATCATTAGGTGGAAATCTTTTGTTTTACAAGAAAGATAAGAACCACATAACGTGTTTATTTATTATCGAAATAAAGAAATTTCGTCATTTAATACGAATATTAAAATGTAGGTGGAGTTCACGAAAATGAAGAATTACGTGCGCGTTTGATTTCGTGCGAAGCTGCACAAGATCTGTCCATAATTTTGAAGTGACAGACAGGAGGGAAGACAGCCCTTAACTGAGGAGGATACATGAGGGAAATATGTATCTTTATAGGTAACTAGGTTAATTACTATAATACACTGAACTAAAATATTATAGATACCGTGACAGAAGAAATAGTTATATAATACACGAAATATGGAAACGTAGAGGTTAGAATAGATGTACAAGAGCTTAGGGTGGAAAGAAATAATTGTGTTTGATTAATTAAAAGTTCAGTGTCCAACCAATAACTAAAATTTTGATTTGTTTGTTTGTTTTAGATAGTAAAGATGTTAAACTCCAAGGGGTTGGTTCCCCGCGGTGGACTGAGCCCAGATATCCCATTGTGTAGCTTTGCGCTAAAACAAACATTCTTATTAATAACTAGTTAGAGTACCCGTCACCAGGACGGAAGTTGTGTAAATTCATGATTAATGAAAGGTTATCTTCAGACATGAAAGTTGCTTCCCTTATATGTAATTGTCTAAAACGCAAAAACGGCCATACAAACTGCAAACTTGCATGTACCTCCGCATGGACCCAACAAACCTTCATGCCAAATTTGGTGAAGATACATCAACTGAGGACAAAGTAGTGGTAAAAAACGCAAAAACGTCCATAGAAACCACAAAATGCAAAACTGAAAATTTTTATGTATCCCGGTATGGACCTAATTAGCCTCCATACCAATTTTGATAGGCCCGGCATGGCCAGGTGGATAAGGCGCTCGACTCGCAATATGAGGGTCGCG